TACAGGAGGCGACTCCCTCTTACGTTTATAAAAGACACACTCGCCAGCGCCTGGGAGGTAGGCCGCACGCTGCCAGGCCGCGCACCGGTGTCGTGCGGGCCTGCCTACCTGACGGCCTGCAGGCGGCGACCGGCGGGACGACGCAGCATACTATTTGCTCGAACCACGTCACAGGCAAAAGTATCCCCGCAATTTTACAACATTGATTGCCATTTTTATTCATCAAATTTGTTGTAAACAGCATCGTATTGTTAGTCGATCAACTCCAAATCGATACGAAAGTGCTTGTGAAAAAAAGCTTGCTTTTCGTCCCATCTATTGCGACCCAACGGCCCCGGGGACCTTTCTGAGATGGTAGATCTAAACATTAAGATAAAACAGATCAAACAAAAGGTGACAATTTATACTCACTGGTGCCGTTCATGGGCTTGACGTCGTGGAGCGGCGAGTGTTGGGGCGTCGCCATCTTGTCCGACTTGGGGGCCGTGGTGCCTCCGCCGGCCGCGCCGCCCCCAGCCGCCCCCGCGCCGGCCCCGGAGCCGCCCCCGGGCGCAGCGCACGCCCCTGCGCCGCCGCCGCCTCCGCCACCCTGCTCCGACTTGACGGGGGACGAGCCTCCGCTGCCCGCCCCGCCTCCGCCGCCGGACTCGCCGTTCGGGGTATGGGGACCCTTCTGCTGCGCCAGCCGCTCCTGCTTTCTGAACTTGGCGCGCCGGTTCTGGAACCACACCTGCAAACACAAACAAACACAAAAAAAAAGGCGTTAGAAAAAAATTCGCTGCAATTATTAAAAAAAAAAGCCGATCAAAAAATATTGCAAATTATATGTTTGTGAGACAAAATTGCGAATAAGTGTTTGTATTGTGTATTTCTTATTTTTGGTGTATTTGGTAATTCCTCTATCCGTATGCTTGATGGAGCTGCTCTTTTGCCTAAGCACGTATTCCTTGCAGCTTCGCTTCTTACACAAAGAAGAGGGGGCAGGCGCGGGAGCGGGGGGAAGGGGGCACGGTAGGAGAGGGGGAGGGGGGTAACCCAGAGAAAAACGAGGAAAATTCAGCCACGCCGCTACCCATTGTGAGTATTTGCAGAGGGCGAAGGGCCGCCCGGCCAGCACTAGCCCGGGACACCACCACAGGCCAGGACGCCACCAGCATCCAGAATGAGTTTGGCGGGGGCGGGGGCTGAGTGAGAGGGAGTGAGAGGGAGAGAAAGAGAGAGAGAGAGAGAGACGCCCCCGCAGATGGAGTGGCCGGCAGCGGCGCTGGGGCTGGCCCAGCAGGCGAAAAGAGCGAAACAATACACGTCGAAACGAAGCGCGTGTGTGTTTATTTAACTTGGGGGGCGGGAAAAAAAGACGCGCTGAAAAAGTTCAATAAATAGAGGACCGCGGTTTTACAAAATATTTTAACAGAAAGAAAATTAATACGATATTAAAATATGTGCAAATTTATTTCAAGTAGCAAGAGCAACAACAACAAATTAATTGAAGCAGTTCCATCTATTTAGAGTATTTACTGCACATGACAAACAATTAGTGTGGACGACATCCGACGCTCGTCACGATACTCATCCACACCACGATGAAGTGTTTGGGGCAGGGCAGGTCGGCAGCAGGCCCTGGCATATTCTCGCCAGGATGACGAGTGAGCCGGGTGAATCAGAGCGCACACTAAACGCACACCGCACGGCCTCAGCCGCACCACCCCAGGCCTCGGCCGCAAGGCCTCAGAGAGCGCATAATCTCTCCAGAGCACTGCGGTCTGGTCGCCGCGGCCTCGGCCACGGCCCGTGAATATTAGATGCGCCAAACCTCCATCCACACATCCATCTACGACACGGCCACCACCACCACCCGCCTGCCGGCCGCAAATCTCAGAAGGACTCGCCACGCCTCGCCCCCCACCCCACCCCGCCCCGGCTAACTGGAGCAAAACAACAGCTAAGTAGCCCCAGGGTGGCCACAATCTCGGCGAGGGAGTTACACTACCACCACCACCGCCTCTACCAGGCAGGAAGTGGGCGCCTATACACACGGGTCTTCCGAAAACACTCACATGCCGTCACTATACTTGATTTCTCTTATCACCACTAGTTGGTCGTACACATTACGAATAAATAAATGTCCACGGCAGTTCAAAACATACGAGAGAAATTTTTAAAGTCGTAGAGTTTAGAGGGCAAAAGAATTTTGAAAAGGCCTGAATCGCTTTACAAACATAATCAATATAAATATAGCGAGAGCTTGTTCGATTCCGAGTATGAAATGGAACAGAAGGGACAACAACAACAACAGGCATCGTGACGCGCGAAAATCCCCCACTCACCCGAGTAAAGGACAGCAGCCGAAAGTAGCAAAGAAAACAGGCGAGAGCAAAGCAGCG